ATTTTAAATGGAAAATCACCCTATGAACTTGTTACTCCTACTTTTGAACATTTGAGAGTTTTTGGTTGTCTTTGCTTTGCAGTTAAACATAATGTTAGTGATAAATCTTTGAACGTGCTGAGAAGTGTATTTTACTTGGTTATTTTGCTGATAAAATTCTTTTTTTTTATCTCTAGGGATGTAAAATTTTACGATCCAATCTTTCCTTACAAGTTAAAGTCAACTTCCACTGATTTGTCCCTTGATAATAGTGGCCCTTGTGATCCCTTTTCCTATGATGAGTTTGGACCTAATAAGGTCAGCAACCAGAGTGGCAAGGCAGTTGTGCCTACCACTAACGGCTTTGTTCCAATTCAATCTGTTAATTCTGAGGAAAGTATTTAATATTTTACTTTACCTTCACTTGATTAGTCTTTTGGGTCTTCTTGGTCTAGGAATGAGTCACATATGCCTGCTAAATTTGCTGAATATATTGTAGAGGGTAAACATAAGTATAGGATAGAAAGATCAGTTAATTACTCTTTTGTAGTTAATGATACTAGGTGTTTTATGTTAAATTTAAATAAAACTGTAAAACCTAAAATTTTGATGAGCTTCCTCTAATCCTAATTGGATTAGAGCCATGAATAAAGAAATGGAAGTCCTTTATCGCAATCATACTTGGGATATAACTTCTCTTCCTAAGAATAGGAGACCTTTAGGTTGCAAATGGGTCAATAGAATAAAGTATAAGCCCAACGGGGAAGTTGAACATTATAAAGTCAGGTTAGTTGCTAAAGGTTTTAAATTGATTTTGTAGAAACTTTTTCACATGTTGCAAAGATTGTTAATATACAAATTGTTATTTCATTATCTGTTCATAATTCATGGTCTTTATATCAATTGGATATAAATAATGCTTTTTTATATGAAGATCTTTCTGAAGATGTTTACATGTCTATTTCTCCTGGATATTTTTCTAAAAATGATACAAGAGTTTGTAAGCTGGTTAAGTCATTATATGGCTTAAAACAGGCTCCTAAGATGTGGAACGAAAAATTATGCTCTGCTTTGTTTAAATTTAGGTTTAAGCAAAGTGTTAGTGACAGATTAAATTACTATCTTGTTATTTTATGTTGATGACATTATATTAACTGGAAATAATGAAGTTGAACTGAAACAAGTAAAAGATTTTTTGAAAACTCAATTTTTAATTAAGGATCTTGGTGTTATGAAATATTTTTTAGGAATTGAAGTTGTTAACATTGTTAATGGTCTTTGTTTAAATCAGAGAAAGTATTGTCTTGAATTGTTGCATGAGTATGGTATGCTTGGATGCAAACTAGTTACCATTCCTCTTGAAACAAATTTAATTGTTAGTTCTGGTGAAATGAGTAAAAACTATGAGTTGTTGTCCAATATAACTGAATTCCAAAAGTTAATAGGTAAATTGATCTATCTTACCATTACGAGATCATATATTTCGTATGGTGTTCAACTTCTCATCCAATTTATGCATAAACCTACGAAAGTGCATTGGAAAATTGCTTTTAGGTTGTTACAATATTTGAAAAATAGTCCTAGAAAGGGTATTGCTATTACAAAGTCTGATGTCTTTGAGTTAAAAGGGTATGTTGATGCTGATTGGGCAAAGTGTTTGTCCACTCGTAGGTTTGTTACTGGTTATATGGTTTATTTTAATAATTCCTTGGTGTCATGGAAGAGTAAGAAACAATCAATTGTTTCTAGGTCTTCTACTGAGTCTGAATATAGGGCACTTGGTTCAATAACTTGTGAAATAAAGATTTTCAAAATTTTATTTGAGTTGGGAATTAAAGGGTTATCTCTACTGCCTGTATATTGTGATAATGATTCAACTATTAAGTTAGCTATGAATCCTGTATTTCATGAACGCACCAAACATTTTGAAACCGACTTGCATTTTGTTCGATTTTTTTTTCTAAATGGTGTTTTGAAGTTGGTTAAAATTTCTTCTTTTGATCAAAATGCTGACATTTTAACTAAGTCTTTAGGTTTTAAACAACAGGATTTTTTGACAAATAAATTGGGCTTGGTTGATGTGTTTACTCAAAATGAAAAATAAATAATTCGATTGAGGTGAGATGTTGAAAATTGTATATATTTTCTCATTCAATCTCTTTATTTATTTTTTTTGATTTATTTTGTAAATAGATATGACATAAGGGTGTGTTGTGTACAATATGAATTTCTTGATCAGGGCTTGGTTTGTTATATATTGTGTTCAAAGGGTTGATTATGTTGTTATGGAATTCTGTTGGGTTGCGGATCGCTTTTAACTAATTTGTAGGAATAAACGTGCATATCTTATTTGATCCAATGTCCGATCCATGATTCATGACCCGTAGTATATATTTTGTTAGAAGCAGCTGAATTCGTCATATTTCATTCATATTGTTCTTCACATACATACCGAGCTCTCTCTTTTCTCTCTCAACTCGTTTGTATAGAGTTATGGTTAAGGTTTACTCAATTGTGTTCTTGTTTTCTGTATTTCTTCTACGATTCTTGTGTAATCGTTGTGGATATAGGTTGAGTGATATTGTGAGAGTAGATATAGGTTTTGTAGTGAGGTTTCTATTTGTAAGTAACTGAAAACCTTCTGGTTCTTTGTCCTTAAATGATATAGAAATCGTTGATATTGTGCATGTTGAGTTTCTGATGTTTTTGACGGTCTTCGTGAAAACTTTTGAAATGAAATAATATCTTTTTAGAGTTCATGTGCTTATAACTTTTTCTTTTCAAATTAAACTTTATGATTAATTAATATATAAATAAGGTGTATTTGGATATATAGATATTTTTTCATCATCAATTATGTTTATTAACTTCAAGTTGTTGTATATTTAGGTTATAATAAGGTGTCATGTCCTTATATTTTCATGGAAAAACTCACTTTGATACAAACTTATGAAAGAAAAAGTTACACATGATACCGCGTAACTACGAATTGAACCCTATAGTTAATTCTAAGACATTTTATTAAAGTATTATTATGATTGGAATCCATAATGGATTCGATGTACCAAACACATGAAAAAAAGACAAAAACAAACACTCAAAGTGTACTTTAAACACGGAAAAACATCATATGAAACCACTATTTTGAAACGGAACTTGTAGGTGTCTTATTTGCCTTTTGGCTCGTTTTAAAGAAGACGGTGCTAAACCTTAGATCTATAATTTATTGAGTATTGATCATAAAAACTAAAAAGATAACAGTTTATATGATTAGTGTGAAAAGAACGCTCCTACATTCACTTTTGATACGATGAGGTGACTTATATATAAAATCAAAATAAATGAAAAAAAAAACACCAGGTAATTGTATTAAAAAAATTAACAAAAACGCAATCGGTTTGATAATCAAAGTACATTTTTAACATGTTCTACCATTTAAGATTTATTTGTTCATAGAATATGGTCGAAGTCATGCACCCTCTGGCTTAACACATTCATGCCTACCTTATAGTTATATAGCCTTCGTCTCTAGGGGTGTTAGTGTACGTACATTAGTGCGATGCGATCTTTTAAGTGCTTGTATTCCTAATAAAAAATAATCTTGAACTTCACATATATCTTATAAATACTCATCAAAGGTTGATATTGTATGATCATAATATTTTTCTAAAACTATTAATATATATCCAACTGGTTATCATATATCACTTCAAAGATTGTTCAAAAAGTAAAATGTTTTCAATAAAGTTATAACCCAAGTTTATCTATTTTCGAGGGGTAAATTACGAGATTGGCTACTTTGCAATAACCCAAAAAACCAATTGCTTAACCTTTTAATATGTGAAAATAATGTACTTTTACAAAAAGGTTATTACTAAATCGATGAAAATGATAAAATTATATAATTTTTTTATATATCTATTTTTAAAGTTTGAATGATAATAACATCTAGGGAAATGATTTTGTTTATTTTAGATAAGATCCACTAGTAGCGTATCTTTGAGCAAGACCCACCCACTAAAACTTTTTCCATAAACTAATAAAAAAGCAAGTCTAGGAATGGAGTGAAAGGAGCTGGAAAAACTCAACTTCTTTTTATTACATGACTAAAAATTTAATATGAATATTATGTATCGATTCAATTAAATAATTATGGTTGCGAGTTGCCTGTTGCGACTTTCGAATTTGTTTCGTAGTTCGTTCATATATGTAAGCAATGTGTTACGTTGTATTTCGAAATATTTACATCATTGTAACAATCTAAATTATTTTATATTTAACTAATATCATCACCCCAAATGATCGTGTTGTAAAACTCGGCAAAATGCAATTTGATAAGTTTATCTTTATATAACAAATATTTGTTTTATGATATTCAAAGGATAGTCATTAGTGACATAACAACTTCCATTTTGATTATTAATGTTACCATTTTAAAGATAGTCATTAGTGACATAAGAAATTCCAAAATAATTTATAATACAAATTTCTCTGTTACATTTATAAAGCCACACAGGTGCGTGTTTAACTGTTTATGCATGTATACCTTTCATACGCTACACGCGTCCCAAATTTGAATCAGAAAAGGTAAATCCTCCCAAGTTTTCTCTATTTTTTTCTTTTTCGATTTTACTTATTAGTTCTCGCACTAGATCTATAATTGCTATGTGCTCAATGATTGAAAGTTATATGCATCTTCGGTGAGTTGTTCCTTGATTATATAGTTTTGCTGTTGATTTGTTCATCATATTTGTATATTTGATTATTTAGTTATGATTTGATATTTACTTGCACTTGAAACGTATGCATCTTGAGTTATGATGTCTAATTAACTCCTCAAATTTGGAAATGAAACAAGAACATTTGATGGATCGGTTTAGCACTAACATACTTTTTTCTTCGTTTCAGTTCATAAAGTTGCTGGAGTTTCTGCAAGTGCCTTCCAACTGTTCGACAAAAGGTCTAGCTCAAAACCTTCATTGTAGTCGATTTCATAAAAAAAGAACAGGGAATGCAGAGAAATGCGTTTTCAAACCCGGATATCTTTTGAATATGGAGTTCCATTTAAGCCATCCTCATTTCTCCTTGATGAGATTGGAGATAAGCACACTCAGCTACCTGGTAATATTATTCTCTACAGTTTATCAAAGTACTTTCAAGGTCAAACCATAGTTTACCATTTCAAATTACAACTGTTGTGGTCCAAATGGAACGTTATGAATTGGGGAAATTATTAGGGCAAGGGAATTTTGCAAAAGTCTACCATGGAAGAAACCTTGAAACAGGGATGAGTGTTGCAGTTAAGGTTATAAACAAAGATAAGGTTATGAAAGTAGGGTTGATTGATCAAATCAAGAGAGAGATCTCAGTGATGAGATTAGTCAAACACCCGAATGTAGTCCAACTCTACGAGGTCATGGCTACAAAAACCAAGATTTACTTCATTCTCGAATACCTAAAAGGAGGTGAACTCTATGAAAAGGTGGCTACAGGGAGGCTAAAAGAGGCCACTGCAAGAAAATACTTTCAACAACTCATCACAGCCATCAATTTCTGCCATAACCAAGGAGTTTACCACAGGGATTTGAAGCCTGAGAATTTATTATTAGATGAAGATGGGAATTTGAAAGTTTCAGATTTTGGATTAAGTGCTTTGGTTGATACCAAATGGGAAGAAGATGGTTTGCTTCACACAAGTTGTGGCACACCCGCCTACGTGGCACCTGAAGTAATTTACCAAAAAGGGTATGATGGGGAAAAAGGCGATATTTGGTCTTGTGGGGTGATCTTGTTTGTGCTTTTGTCTGGTTTTCTTCCGTTTCAAGATTCGAATCTCATGGTGATGTATAGAAAGATTACAAGGGCAGAATTCAAGTTCCCAAATTGGTTCCCTTCTGAAGCGCGAAAGTTAGTGTCAAAGATCTTGGATCCAAACCCTAAAACCAGGATTTCCATTGCAAAGATCATGGAAAATTCGTGGTTTAAAAAGGGTTTTGTTTCTGAGGGCTCTTTTGGAGAGACAATCAAAGACTTCAGATATCTGGGAAAACCAGATAACTTGAATGCATTTGATATCATTTCCTTGTCACCGGGATTTGACTTGTCGGGATTGTTCAATGATGATGTCATAGATGAGAAGGAAGTGAAATTCATGTCGAAAATGTCGTTTGTTACCATAGTTTTGAAATTGGAAGAAATAGCCAAGATTTCAATGTTGAAAGTGATGAAAAATGATGGCGGGTTACTAAAAATGGAAGGGTTAAAAGATGGCAAAAATGGTGTTTTAGACATTAATTTTGAAATATTCGAGATCGCACATGATGTGTATATCATTGTGGCGAAAAGATTGGGAGGTAATAAGTTTGAGTTTTGGGAGATTGTGAACGAGCATATAAAGCCGGCCCTTGTGGATAACTGACAGTATATGAAAAGGGTATTTATGTCTTTTATACTAACAAAATATCGAGAACGAGTCTGTGTTCCATCTTTTTTGATGTTATATTCTGCTAAAATTTATCGTTTAAGAAAAAAAACCAAATCAAATTAAATATAGATCCAAAACTCTCGTGAGAACCCATCGCTAAAATATTTCAAAATTTCAAATTAAAGAATTGTATATTATGATATCGTTTCAAAAAGGCATATTCAAAATAAATACAAATCGAAAATAGAAAAATAGAAAACCAGCGTTATATATATTTTGTCACACAACTTTCACCGCATTTCTCTAAAAAGTTTATTGTTTCTCAATTTCGTCATACAACTTTCACCGTCTTTCTCTAAAAAGTTTATTGTTTCTCAATTTCGTCACACAATTTTCACCGCCTTCATGGACTTTTTCAACAGTAATCTTTTTGGTTTTTGAGTTTGGCCACACAATTTTCAAGTTTTGATAATTTTAGTCCCCGTTGTTTATTGTTTCTCAATTTCGTCACACAACTTTCACCGCCTTTCTTTAAAAAAAAACTCTTTATACAGGAATGTTTTTGGTTTTAGAGTTTGGCCACATAATTTTCAGGTTTTGATAATTTTAGTCCCTATTATTTATTGTTTCTCAATTTCGTCACACAACTTTCATCGTCTTTTTTTACAAAAAATGACCTGTGCAACACACAGACCTTTTCCTACTTTTTCTAAAAAGAATGATTCGTGCAACGCACAGAACTTTTCCTAGTTTTAATCAAAGCCCATCACTTTCTTGCCCCATCGCTCACAAGTGATGTGTAGTGTATTTCAGACCAAAAGCTTAGCCACAATTTGTGTATAAAAAGAAAAGAAAAAACATTAGCCAGTCTTATATATTAAAATATGTTGTAAGTGAGTAATTTTTTCAAAATAAAATATCCTAACAATAAAGAAAAGTGAAAGTAGTGTGATATAATATGGTGGTTTTTTCAAAGTACAATACTTTAATAAAATATCAAAATTATAATGTTGTAAATAGCACAGAAAGCAAGATGTTACGATACACAAATACATGAAAAAGCCAAAGAAAGAATAAGGAAAATCTTACATTTCTTTGTATATTTTAGTATCCTACTTTGGATAGTTTTTGGAAAAGTAAACTAAAATTTTTGTCAAGCGATTGATACCGTTCACCTACTTGGTAAAAAGAATAAAAGTCAGTATAATTTGCATTTTAGTATATTAAAATCCCAAATTGTTCAAGAATTAAACTCAATAAACCAAACTTTCAGAAAAGTTATGATATTATTAGAACTTAATAGATACTTAACCCTTATCCTTATTTGAAAGATAAAAGAATTACCAAGATTTTTATTAGAATAATAATTTTTTATTTTTTACACAACTGGCCAACTATTTCTCAATGCTCTAATTGTAAAATTATTTTTTTGTTGTAGACTTGCTTTTTAAATGAGTCGCCTCTAAAAAAAACCTTCAAAAGATGACCAAGGATGTTCTTGGAAAGGATGAGAGTAAAAGTGATGGAGAAAATCAAAAATAGATGAGATGTAGGTGGTGGAAAACAAGAAATTATAGCAATGGTGTGATCTTTCATAGGGAAAAAGGTGGCACTATATCCTACAACAATTGTAAGAAGAGAGAGAGAAAGAGGTTGCCTGATGAGTTATAGAGAGATTAATAGAGAGATGTATATTCTGACAGAATGAAAAAGGAGCATGAGAGATATATAATCCAACCGTATGGAAATGGGAAGACATCACCATGGATTTCATCACAAAGCATCCCATGACTGCGCGCAGAGTGGATTTGATTTGGGTCATCGTGGATCGATTGACCAAGATCACGCATTTCATTCCGATTCGGAAGAGTATTTCTGCGGAGAAGTGGGCTGAGATTTATATTCGGGAGGTTATGGCACGTCATGGGGTGCCGGTATCAGTTGTTTTTGACAGGGATGTCCGATTTACATCTAGATTTTGGAAGAGGTTTCATGACGAGTTGGGCACTCGTCTCCTTTTTAGTACAACATTTCATCCGCAGACCGATGATCAAAGTGAGCGGACTATCCAGAATCTTGAGGATATGCTGCGTGCGTGCATGTTGGATTTTGGTGGGAGTTGGGATACATATATTGTAACGCCCGTACATCCAGACTAGTCAATTTAGAGACAAGAAACATCAAAAATGAGTTATTGGTGGGGAATATTATTTATAAGGATTAATCTTAACCAAGTGGTAGTATATGTTACAAGGGTTCCGTACATATAAAGAACGCCGAAATCCGAGTTATAACGAAGAAGTTATGGCCCGTCGAAGTTTTACGGCAAAACCGGCACGACACCGGGAGACGTAAATAGTGAATTTACGATAGAGGAATTTTTGCCCTTAGTGATCTAAATAAAATTTATAGTATACGTTAAACCGAGAGTGTGCATAAAAAGAACGCCAAAATCTGACTTCATATGGGGAAGTTATGAATTTTCTAAGATTTGGCATAGCAGTGCACGACCCGAAACTCGAATTTTAGATCGAGCGGTTTTGGCCTACGCGACCTAAATGAGATTTGAAGATCTCATTAATAGGAATTCAACGATAAAGATAAAGACGAAAACGGAGTCCGTATGAAAGAGTTACGAATTTTTCGCGGTCATTTAACAGTATAATCTCCTCCTACTGTTAAATTTAAGATCGGTCGAGAATTAGCCGACGGAGTCAAAATGAAAGTTGTAGATCTTATGTTTACCTACGCGTGGATATAAAGTACGTCAAAAACGGAGCTCGTATGCGAGAGTGAAGGATTTTAGAAGTCGGAAGTGTGCTGTGCGAAATGGATTACGTGGCACAATCTTGGCCATTGCTTTCTCCCCAAGTCTTGCCACCAGATGGTGACATGTGGCACCAAGTTCAGCCATATTTCACCCTATAAATAGAACCTCTCCCACCCTCATTTTCTTCACACATTTCCCATTCTTTCTTCTCTCTACACTCTCTCTAAACGTCCCAAAAACTCCCCTAGCGCTAGAAGAAACCCCCGGAGCGCTCGTCGGCTCCGAGAAGAAGAGCTTTCGGCTCGGAAGTTTTGCCCCTGCAGAGCACAGCTTCTAGCCAAACCCCCTCGTAGGTAAGATACGCCTACCAAATTTTTAATATAGCTTTTATTTAAATATAGTAACGTTATTAGGACCTTATAATAATTATTTGAGCTATTATTATGGGTTATATAAGTGTCGTTATAATATCTTTTTAACTACTCGCGGTACGGGGAATCCGGTTTGAAGGGCCGCTTGGGTTGTTGGATTTCAGAAGTGTTATATGCCAAAATGATCCTGCCCTCCGGTGTTTTATGTCTGGCCCCTGTCTGTACATAGTGGTTGGAAAATATTGTTTAAACGCTTATATAATAATAATAATAATAAGACTAATAATTAGTCACGGTAAATATTAGACTAAAATCTAGTGGTAATAATACTAGGTTTCGTCGAAGGAAATTATTTTAAAGGAAACGAAGCGCTGTCCGAGTATTGAGTCACCACCTTATGAAGTGAGTGCATAGTTACTTTCATCTTACACATAGATATGAAGTATTTTATATAAATTATGTGCTATGTGTGCATATAACATGTATACCTGCTATCTATGCTGGATGAACGATTTATACATGTTTTAAATAATTTAAACTGTATATGTATTTTATATCTACGAATATGTTGGGTAAAACATGGGTAGATGAATGATGAGAGATGAAAGATGATATGAGTGAACATTGGCAACTATAGACTTAGTACCTAATAAATAACATCGGCAGCTATGGACTTAGTGCCTATTGGATAAACGCCGGTAGCTATGGACTTAGTACCTGTTAGATAAACGTTGGTAGCTATGGATTTAGTACCTATTAGATAAACACTGGTAGCTATGGATTTAGTACCCGATGAATGAACTTTAGCAGCTATGGAACTAGTGCTTTACGAACGAGCATTAGCAGCTATGGACTTAGTGCCTGTTATATGAACCCTGGAAGCAATGGACTTCGGAATGAACGAATGCAGGATAGATGATTCTTAGGATAGACCCTTAAGAATAACGAACATAATGGGCATGAGTAATTGGGTTAATTGTTTGACGATTAAACATAATAATTATATTATTGTGGGTTGAAAACCATATGTACTCACCAGGTTTCCCAACCTGAACCACTCAAGCTTATCTGTATCACATGTGTCGATATGAAATTACATTACACTGAGAGATTAAAGAGATGTAGATCACTAGTGTAAATGAATGTAAGTTCTGTTTATGCTTATGTTTCTGTATTGATAATGACATCCCAAATGTTTTAAAATGAATAAAAAATACATTTCTTCGGAAATGCTTTGATAACGTATTTATCATGTTTTACTGGGAACAAATTCCGCAACATTTTTTATCAAAATAATTCCGCAACATTTTTTTATCAAAATAAGTACTCTGATTTTTTTTATAAAGCATAAACAAAATCGGTCTTTTCTGGCCGTGAAAATGGGGATGTCACAGTTGGTATCAGAGCATTAGTTTAAGCGAACTAGGAATAAGGATTTATTTCTAGACTTAAACTTAGAATGCTAAGCGATGATCGTGAGGAGTGTGTCTAATATAATTTAGGTAGTACACCTGAATAGACACAAACCCTAGCTTATTAAGGGAAGGATGCCTAAATTGCTTTTATGTGCTAAATGATTTGTGATGCTTTATGATGCTATCGTTTGATCGGATCTATGGTCTGTTGCCGACCGGATCTGGAAACTTTATGTGTTCAGATTTCTAAACGTTTAATTACGATATTAGAACTGACATGTAATTTTTCGAGGTAATAAGGAGGAATACGCGTCTAAACCTTCGTCTATCTTTATTCTCGTCTCGATACACCAAACGACTGCTTTGGTGTGCAAAACATCATGGTGAACACTCGTAGTGAATTGAGTAAATGGAGGAAATGAGAAGGCTTACGATACT